TCCCAGTTGGTCTTTGTGGATGATCTTTCTAATGTGTTGTTGAATTCTATTGGCCAGAATTTTATTGAGGAAATTTACATCTATGTTCCTCAGTGAAATTGGTCTGTAATTCTCTTTCTCAGCTGCATCTTTTTCAGGTTTAGGAATTAAGGTGATGTTGGCTTCATAGAAAGAATTTGGTAGGATTCCCTCTCTTTCAATTGTTTTGAATAGCTTGAGAAGAATTGGAGTTAGTTCTTCTTTAAATGTCTGGTAGAATTCAACAGTGAATCCATCCGGTCACAGGCTTTCTCTTTGTTGGGAGGTCCTTTATTACTGATTCCATCTCTGACTTGGTTATGTGTCTGTTTAGCTTTTATGTCTTCGTGGTTCAATTTAGGTAGGTTGTATGTGTCCAGGAATCTATCCATTTCTGATAATTTCCCAGTTTGTTGGCATACAACACTTCATAGTAATTTCTGATGAGTCTTTTTATTTCTGTGGTGACTGTTGTTACATTCCCCCTCTCATCTCTAATTTTATTGAGTTGCATCTTCTCTCTCCTTTTTTGGTTAGTTGGGCCAATGGTGTGTTATTATTGACTCAACTCCCAAGTTTACACTAAGGTTGGTTCTCATGGTTCTAGCAGTCTGAGGTGTCTGTGTCCTCCATTTCTCTTGTTCTGTTACTTTTCCAATGGCCTCTATATTTTCATTCATACTCCTAATTATAACCTGACTCATCACTATCTGCATTTTAATTCACTGTTATTTGTGGAGACCCTGTTGAACTGGAGGTGAAGAATGGGAGAAGGAAAAGTTTGTATCAACATATGCTTCAACTCATTTTTTTTAGATAAAGAATATCTACCAAAACCAGCTTTAATAGTGAAATTGGACAGTTTTCCCTTAAGGTGGAGAAAGGGGGAAGTGTCTTTTTCTCACCACTACTTTTCAATATTATGGTGGAATTACTAGACAGTGCAGTAACACAAAGAAAGGATACAAAATGCATACATATTGGGAAGGAAGACATAAAACTGCTAGCAAATGTCATTATTGCATGTATAGAAAATTCAAAAGTACATCATAAGTACCCCTGGAACAATGTTAGTGTAGCAAAGTGGCGAATTACATGTACATTTCATTGTTGTTCCATGTATGGGTAAGAGCTAGGATTTGAAATTTAAAAACAAAATTAAGCATCATTTAAAATTGCATCAGGTTAAGAAGCAAATCCCAATCGGTGTCTTTTAACTGGACAGTTCAGGCCATTAACGTTCAATGTGACTAATGAAAAGTGGTAACTTTGCCCTGCCATTTGCCAAAGATAAGTTCTAATATATGCTTTGAATTCCCTGTGATCTTTTGCTGTGAGGTTTCCTTCCTTTACCTTCTTTCATACTGATGACCGTGTTTCTGTGTTTCTGTGTGTAACACATCTTTAAGCATCTGTTGCAGGGCTGGACGAGTGGCCACAAAGTCTTTCAATTTCTGTTTGCTATGAAAAGTCTTTATTTCACCTTCATTCACAAATGATAGCTTTGCAGGATATAATATTCTGGGCTGGCAGTTTTTCTCTCTTAGTACCTGGGCTATATCTCGCCATTCCCTCCTAGCTTGTAGAGTTTCTGATGAGAAGTCAACTGTGAGTCTGATTGGAGATCCTCTGAGAGTAATCTGACGTTTCTCTCTTGCACATTTTAGGATCTTTTCTTTATGTTTCACTGTGGAGAGTTTAATTACAACGTGTCGTGGTGAGGATCTCTTTTGGTCGTGTTTATTAGGGGTTCTGTGAGCTTCCTGTACTAGGATTTCTCTGTCCTTCTCCAAACCTGGGAAATTTTCTGCTAATATCTCACTAAAAAGGCCTTCTAATCCTTTCTCCCTCTCCATGCCTTCAGGAACTCCTAGAACCCGAATGTTGGGTTTTTTAATAGTATCCTGAAGATTCCTGACAATATGTTTTAGATTTCTAATTTCCTCTTCTTTTCTTTGGTCTGACTGTATCCTTTCCTGTTCTCTGTCTTCTAAGTCCAATATTCTCTCTTCTGCTTCACCCATTCTGTTTGTAAGGCTCTCTATTGTGTTTTTCATTTGATCTATTGAATTCTTCACTTCAGTCACTATCCCAGTTTCCTGTTGTACTAGTTGTTTCGTTTCATTTTGATTCCTCCTTAATATTTCATTTTCACGAGAGAGATTTTCTATCTTGTCCATTAAGGATTTCTGTAGTTCAAGAATTTGTTTTTGAGAACTTCTTAATGTTCTTATCAATTTTTTGAGATCTGCTTCTTGCATTTCTTCTATGTCATCATCTTCATAATCTTGAATTGGGGTGTCTTTTTCATTTGAGGGCGTCATGGTGACTTCCTTGTTTTTATTACCTCGGTTTTTGCGTTTGTTATTTGGCATATTGGAGATATTTGGTTTCTTCACTGTGGTGCTTTTTCTTGTTATACTATGACTCTAGATTAAGTGGACTATCTGTTTTTGATGGAGCCTTAGGGCTTGAGATGGGTGTGGCCTGAGAGCTCTGTTTGGTGTGCCAAAGGTGACACTCCCAGGTTAGGCGTGGTAAATCTCTCTCTCTTTCTTTTTTTGATTCAAAAGGGAAGTAATTCTGCACAGCTGAACGAAGTTGGAGGTAGTTAGCAGGCAAATGATATACCCACAGGAGCCAGAGATCAGAAGCTCTTTCCCAAGCACCACACAGGGAATCTGTTCTGCCCTCAGAGTGGGCTCAAATTCTCCTTCAGTCTCCCACTGGGTTGCCACTAGTTACGGAATTGTAGCGTCTCTGGAGAGTACTCACATGAATTCCGTGAGTTCTCTCCCCCACCGTCTCTTTTTTCACAGTCTCAGTTCAGTAGCACCACAAATTTACTAGGTCCTAATCTCTGTTAATTCGCCCCGCCCAGAGTCAGGTTTTTCTGCTAGGCTCAGGGCTGGTGCAGACCTGAGGCTGCTCTTCTTATGACGTATGTCCAAGATGGTGCCTGCTCTTTGTCTTGCTCGCCCTTGAGAGGTGAGCGGAGAGAGAGAAACCCGTGTCCGTACCAGTCACCTTTTTTTTTTCTCTCTCTCTCTTCCAGTTAGCCTGGTGAACTTCCCCCCCCCCCAGGGGTCGTTCCCTCTAGTCTCCTCTCTCCGCTTGCCTGCCGGTGTCTCGGGCTATTGAGGTTCGGCTCACCTCGCGTTCCAGCGCTGGTGTGTTGAGTCTGCCGCTGGTGTCCCGAACTGTGGGCTCCCACGCTCTCCACGCAGGTCCGCTGTGAATCACGCATTCTGGAAGAGTTTCTTCTGCTGTTTCCTCCCCTACTCTTCCTTGAACCTGCAGTATCTCCACTTTTATTAAACTATCTCTCCCCGGACTATCAGTGTGCTCCCTTCCTATTCCGCCACCTTGCCTCTGTCCTCTTCAACTCATTTTTAAGTCAACCTGAATCCTTGAACTTTTATCTCTCAAACTATTCCCTAGCCTCCTATTCTCCCTATTTATTTTAGTAAAACTAGAAGGGACTAGAGTTGTCTGGATGCCCCCTTTACAGGTCTTGTAAGGTCCTGATGGTTTCCTTTGGAGGAATGTGACTTTGTTATGAAGGACACCCTAGGTATATTTCACAATGGTCACTTTTCCACCTGAGTATTTCCAAAAGGGCATTTTCACGCTATCCTGTGCCAACAAGGGATTTTCAATTGAGTTTCACCTTGAGAATCTGGTGGACTTGTGGAGCACAAACATATGGAAGTGTGGTGACCCCTGTGAGATTGGAACCCCACTGGAATTGTTCTCAAGTAGGTGCACTCAGCCATCCACATTCCCATTTATGTGTTTCTGTGAGCAACAGGTTCCAGTGACCCCTGCTTCAACTATGCTGATTTCAGCTGTACTTCTCTGCATCTGTCAACTGCAGGCAGAAATTTCAGGGTGGCAGCTTGATACATCTAAGTTGTGCCTTTTTGAGGTTTGTCTCTCCCTTTCTATAACACCATTGTGTATCACCAAGAAGTAGATAGCAGAAGATGAAGCAGGTATCTCTGTACCTCAGTGTTCACAGCAAGCAGAGAGTAGAAACAAAAAAAAAAACTGGATTATTTCCCAGTATTTACAAACAAATGGAGGAGTAATGACAATGTGGTATATGAACACAGTGGAATCGTTATAATATGTAAAAATGAATTAAAGCTTTATATCACACCATGGATGGACATGGTAACACATGACACTTACTGAAATAAGGTGGATACAGAAAGACAAACACTGCATGTTTCCATTACAATGACATGTATACAATAGGCAAATTCAAAGGGTCTGGAAGTACAGATTAGTTGGGGATGGAAAGAGGGGGAGTTACATTTCTTCTTTTATAGATGCAGAGATTAGATTGGATATTGTGACAACTGTTGGGGTACACAGGTGTTGTGCTTACACACCACAGCCAAGTAATTCATGCCACTGAAATAATATACAATAATAAATGTCTACTTGCCCACAGCAATTTAAAAATACCTGAATGGGTAATGGCAAATGTAATACTGCTTATGTAGATTCATAGAGGTAAATGATCTTGAAACACATATAGAAGTGGGGATTTAAATGGCCTACAAAATGGTCAGGAGCAATGATGAGACATCATCAAGGAATCAGTGCACTATAACATTCGCCTATTGCTAAACTGACTGCTTCATAATCATTTGGTTGCTAGTAGTAAGAAAGCCAAAATTCCCCTTCTCATTTATTTTCTGCTCTTCTTCTTGGGCTTTTTCATTCACTAAGGTGGATGGCCCAGCATTGGCACATGTGCAGTTCCAAGCCCACATAACGTGCCCTTCCTGCTACTTGTGGGTACAGGGCTGGCTTGTCTTTTTCTTGCTCTGTTACTTAGTGCAGTACAGAACTCTTGACATTGTTCACTGCTCACCAACACCCCCACATAACCTAGTCCCATGTCCACAGCAATCAAGTCTCCCTGCCTAACTCATCCACAACACCTGACAGGTATCCTATGGTTCTCTTAGCTGCCCCTGAGCACCTGGTGGAAGAGATAAGGAGAGACGGAGCAGATGAGGAGGCCACACCTCTTGGCAAGGTATGACTATGGTTTTTGGTCAGAAATGTCATTTGTATACAATCACTATTCTTATTTATTTGAAAGGCAGAGTTACACTGAGAGAGGGAAGGGAGTGAAAGATCTTCCATCTATTAGTTCACTCCCCAGATGCTTGCAAAAGGCAGGATGGTCCAGCCCAAAGTCAGGAGTCCAGTGCTTTATCCAGACCTCCCACAGGGGTTATATGGGCCCAAGTATTTGGGCCATTCTCCACTGCCTTCTCAGGCACAATAGCATGACATCATATTGGAAACCCAGCCACCAGGACTCAAACTGGCACTTCAATATGGACTGTTGGCAGTGCAGGCAGCAGTTCAGTTCACTGTGACAAAGCAATGGGCCCAGTCAATGTTTTTTTTTTTTTTTTCAAATATAAAAATCTGAACACATACATTGCAGATGCCTTCCACAATTTATTTGTTGGGGGAACATCCAGTGCATGTCTATTATAAAGTGAGACATGACTCAAGAGAGTCTTCATTAAATGACAGCAACAGTTACAAGGTATGTGGTATTGGGCATTTTCCACAATAGCTGTTTTGCATATGTTAAATTTTTCACTTATTTATTTTAAAGAATTATTCTTTATTTGAAAGGCAGAAAGACAGAGAGACAGTGAAAGATCTTAAATCCTCTGGTTAACTTCCTAAATGGCTATAATAGCCAGGGCTGGACCATGTGGAAGCCAGGAGCCAGGAACTCCATCTGGGTCTCCCATGGGTTGGTGTGTATTCAAATACTTGGGCCATCCTCCACTGCCTTTCCAGGTACATGAGCAGGGAACTGGCAGCATCAGGGCTTATTTTCTGTGAAAAGCTCACATCTTGCACACAAGTGTCATCTATGCTTTATTTGGGGGCAATTGCCTTATGTACGGTATACCATCAAGTTTCCCAAAGTCAGCAACAGAAGAGACCTGTGCAAACAGTATCTGCTCTTATAGTGACTTCCTTTCTCTGACTGCAGGTGGACTCAAGATCCAGTGAAAATTGTAAGTATTCTAGAATGCCTCAGTTGCTGAACAAAAACTGAAGTGATGAGAAAGTGGGATCTTCCTGCCTGTATTCTTCTGGACATGCAACCTGATTCCAGTTTCCTGGTAGATTAATAAGATTGGGGGTGTGGTGAAAGAAACGGATAGACTAGCCCATAGCTACAGGAATCTAAGATAGGCCCTGGAAGTGTCTATGTCATTCAGATGGAGTGGGTATCCGTCCATCAGTATGGTGAAGTTTTTAATGAGTGAGTGTGTATGTCATTTAAAGTGCTTGCATGTGTATATGTGTACATATTTCCATGAAAAATGTGTTCCCAAATGCACAACTGAAGGTTCAATTCTAAAAAACAAAAACAAAATAAAAAAAAATACAAAGAACCTGATCACCCTCTGCACATTATGTAAGTGAGCTCATTCAACCCTTGCCCCATGAGTGTCTGAAGGGTAGGTTACAATTCCATGGCATGCATATACATAGAGAGAGAGAGAGAGCTGGAAAATGTCAACATGATTTGATCATCACACACTGTCTGCATACAATGAATTCTTATGCTACAATCCGTAACTATATACCATTATAGTAATAAAAACAATGAGGTCAGGAGAAAAGTTTCAACATAATGACTGGTGCTCATTTTTAAATGGTAGAATTTCAGGATTTGAAAATCTTCTTTATTGACTTGTGCTGATACCTAGGGATTGGCAATAAATGAACATGATGCTTTGCCTACAACTGAGTTCTTCTCCCACTAAAGGTTGCTTTTAATTAAGTTCAGAAGCTCATAAAGGAATGACATACTCAAATAAAATAAACAGATGTTGATCCCTGAGTAGAAGTGACCTTGGGAGATCAACAGTAGCAGTTTAGCTTGGCTTTTCAGTGGGCAGGAGTCATCCTAGAACTCTTACTGAAATACAGCAACCATGGTGATATTTACCCCAAATAGTTTCAATGAATAAAGCTGCCTTGAGCTCAAAAGCTTAAGGCTCTGTTTCTCATGTCTTTCACATTCTTTTCCTTCGCCTTAACCATCACCCCATGCCCATGTCCACCAATGCTCCCTGATGCACCAATATACTGACAGTCACCATATGTCTTTTTAGTGCCCCTTGAGGATGCATGGGAGGAGCTTCCTGGTGACACGAAGGATAAAGAAACTCCGGAGTATACTGAGGTAAGGTTACCTGCCTTCCACTAAAATAGAAATCCTCCTTCCTTGGCTTCTTTCTTTCTCAATCATATAGAGAGGAGCAAAATCTGAATTTGGAGAGGGTCCATGATATACCCTGTGCCCAGTGAGGGTAACTGAAAGGGAGAGTTTACACAAATAGAAAGCTGACTCTGGACACAGTGAAAAAAAATTACTGCCAGGGCTGGACCATAGCAAGCTTCTCTCAGCAGGATTTACTCATCCTTCAAAAAAATTTATAATTTCCAAACAAAGTAGACTGGAGAGACACGTCCCCCATGAAGAGCTCATGTCTGTTGGCATGAGTATCACTGCTCTGCTCATGTCTTTGGATTCCCTCTATATGACCACTCTCTCATACATGGTTTCCCAATGTTACTAAGGGAATTAAAGAAATGTGCAAAGGGCAAACAGATTGACCTGATCCTCATGGTGCCGTTTTCTAATTACAGGTGATCTCAATAAGAACAGCAAGTGGTATGTATTCTGGAATCACTTACTCACTGTAGTATGAATAGTCCTGATGATAGCACAGATGGGACTATCTTGGGGGCTTTAGTGTGGAAGGGCACCTGATGCCCAATTCCTGCTATAAAAGAGGACTGGAGTCTGGTAATTTCCTGATGAATGGTAATGATCATTTACTGGTGTCCCAGGAAGATACTGGCTTGTGCATGGGAGTGGTAATTTTCTATGTAAGTATCCATGTGACATAATTCTGAGTGTATGACTTTGGCAGTTTGTGCGTATTACCCTAGTTATGTTCCTCTGAAGTCACTATCAATATCTCAATAAAAAAGCAATCATATAGGTATTGCTGCATGGTTACAGAAACATGTATATAAACAAGAGTGGAATTGTATACTTCACTGGGTGCTGTTCCTTATATACCTAATAGATCTTGGTCATTCACATCAGTTTATCTAGGAAAACATCCCAGCAAACCCAGAGCAATGTTCACCTAGCTGTATAAGGACAAAACAATGTTTCAGAAGCACAGGGAATATACCAGCAGCACCACGAGGCAATAATAAATCTCACTCCTCAGGAGGCCTCTTGCCTTGTGTTGCTAGCTTGCTCAACATATTTCCCTTTTCACACTTCCCCATTCATGAGTCTTCTCTGGGAAATATAGCCTCTGAATTTATCTGTACAACCCACAATTCTGGTAGAAATATGGGAAAGAGGAGCCATCAGATAGATGTGGAGGAATTCTGAGACCTAACGTTGTCCTTCAATTCATGCTGCTAAGATGTCATCCATTAGCCTAACCATGGTATCTGTGTGCTATGTAAGAAATGTGGCAAAATTCAGGGACAAATTAGTTGGGGTTAAGATTTGACTGCCAAAGGGGACTCTTGGCTTCCTTTTCGGAGGGCCCTTGGGTGCCTGTGCACTGCAAGGTGGGAAAATGTCAACTCAGTCCTGGGTCTGAAGGACCCCACAATATTCCTTCTGAGCCTCCCAGTGGAAATCGGTTCCAGATTTCTTCAGAAGGCATTTCCAAGGAAAGAATTCAAGGTTGTGGTGTGAGGTCCATATGAACACAAAAGGAAACAAAGGATACTGTGGGATTCCTTTGGGAGAATGCTTTCTGGGGAACAGCATTGCATTTTCATAGAATTAGATGGTCTCTAACTGTCAAGATGTTTCCCACAAAGTACTGAGACTGCTTCTCTGACAAACATTTACTAGTGTAACCCACAGATTATCTACCCCAAAAATATTTACTTATAATCTTTCATCTCTAGATCACTGTGCCCCCATGGTTCTGAAGGGTCACACTGCTGGGAGGGCTAAAAAGAAAAAAAAAAAAAACTGTGGCCAACAGCGAGTCTATGATGCATTGAAGGAAGCTTCCCCATGCGCTCTATGCGAAAGAGCAGAGCACAGCTTGGGCTGGTCCCTGGCAGAGGGCAAGTTTAGAGGCAGAAGGAAGATACTAGGACATTCACGCCATGGCAGGCAGCAGGGATCCCATGATTTAATGACCAGGAGAATCAGTTCAGCAGCATCACTTGGGAAAAATAGAAGGAAGAGGATTTCCCTATTCTGAGTGAAAATGAGCAGGACACATCCTTGATGCTAGCCTGAGCACTGTCCAGATGTCTTCGTAATGGCTTGGTAAGAGGAGGTCCTTCCAATGTCAGTGTCTTCCATCTTCATTTCATGATGGAAAAGACACAGAGAACTTACTGAGGGTAAGATAATAGGAGCCATGTCTCTACTTCTCTCCCCAGAAGGGCAGGGCATGACTCACCAGAGATGAGGTTCATGCCAGATAAAGAGAGGATCCCAGGTCTGATCCTTTGGGGCCTGAACAGGGAACAGGATTTTGGAAATCACCTCACAATTATTATCTATGCAGAAGCATAGAATCTGGAGGGCCCATCCCACCTCAGGGCCATCAGAGCTGCAGCACACTGCAGTAAGAGGACATGTGGGGAGGGGCATGGGCACCAGCACAGGGCAAGCTCAGCACAGTGATGGGGTTTATGTGCCCTTGCTGCTCCTCTGTAATTTAGAAGCACTGGAAAGTCCTAGAGTTCCCAGGGCCAAAGTCCATCTGTGTTCTTCTAATCTTGTGTACAGGAAGCCTGGCCAGAGCTGGTCTGTCTTCCTCAGACATTGCCATCCCACAGCCTGGCTCTTGGCTGTCCTTCTAGGGACCCATAGGCAGACTGAGGAATATATCCCTGGTCTGGGATCAAGCACAGGGATGGAAAGTTTTATTCCTCACTTTGCAGACACTGTTGGACTATACACCAGGCTGATTACCTGTCCAGGCTCTGACCCAAGTCAGGTGCAACCAGAATGAGCTACTGAAAAAAGTGTTCTTCCTGCACAATTTGTTCCAGCTGCTCACAGAATGTTCTCTCTTAGCCTGGGACAGGTCCATTCTCCAGCTCATACAACTCAGAGCATGCACATCATGGCTGGGATTTGGGGTTTTCAGATGCAGGCTGGAGGTATCATCATTCAGTGTATTAGGGAAAGTGAGATGTTGAGAGGTGGTGCCTTCAGCTCCTCTCCCTCACTGGAAGGCTGGAAGCTGTGGTCAATGTCTGCCTGAAGGTCAGGTCCACAGAGCCAAGGAAGGGTCTGAGAGCACAGAGGAAGGGGCAGGTTCATGTTGAGCAATCCAGGATGTGCTCAGGTTGAGGGGAGGAATAGGAAAGACTCTCTGTCAACATTTATTGTCTGTGTTTGTGTCTCTTAAGATTGGGTCTTGCAGAGCATTTCTGATTCCAACAGTGAGGATGAAGCCTCTTCAGGTAGGAGCAATACCCACAAATCCCAGAGAGTCAAATTAGGGGAACGATTGGATTATCTGCTGCTTTGGACTCCTAAGAGGACATATTAACTCAAGAGGAAAAAAAAGGCATTGTATGTAGATATCTGATTTGTTATTTTTATATTAATTGTGGAGCAGGAAGACATTTTATGCCCATGAGATTGGAGCAAGCTGAATTTTTAACAATCATTTCTTGCTTGACTATTTAAATGTTCACACTTGCTTAATACTGACCATCCCTGGCTTTACCATTGCAAAGATCAAATCCCCTGCATTGTGATAGGATAGCACTGCCTGCATATAGAGTACAAGAGATGTTTGAGTTGTGTGTTGACCATTATGTTAGTCCATTTTAGGTTGCAACACAATACCTAAGATTCTCTAATGAATTAGAAACAGAAATTTCTTTCTTATCAAGGTTGGCAGGTGAAAGACCAAGATGTGTCTGAGGAAGGGCTCTTTGTTGCATCCTCAACTCACTTGGCAGAAGGCAGAAGGCCATGGAATACAGTGGGACACCATCTCTCACACACACTGGCCTGTACTCACACAGTCCTTGTAGCAAGTGCCAGGTGATAGTGAGTAGTGGACCCTCCCCCTCTGTACAGCCAGTAGATAGAACAATTCTTGTGTGCTCTATCCTCACTGCCTACTTCCAGTTTACAATCCCAGTCTCTCTCACTCCCAGGGTTGGCCAAGTTAAAGAATACTTCCTCTGAGTTGACTGGGGAGGCCCCTGCAACTTAGAATTGTGAGGGCAAAGCATTAGTCTGAGTTCATCTTGGATTCTCCATCTCACCCAAGTCTGGAGTAGGCTTTGTGACAGGCTGTTATCCAGTTGCTACTGGAGATACTGCATAGCTGTACAGGCTTCCCAGTGGATGTGTCTTAGGGGATTCTGGACTGGAAGTACACACTGGCCCTCATGGTTCTGCTGACCTCATCCCTTGGAATGTACTGGTTTCAGTGGATGGTCTCTCAGCACCAGGGCTGTGTGTCACTTTTCCCCTCAGATGCACTGCTCCAAACACACCAAGCTGCCTTGTTCACCTTCTAGTCATACCCAGCAGATTCCATGTCCTCAGGCATGCCAGGCGTCCTACTTCCCAGGCCATCCACTGCTCAGTGAAAACTCTAGAAAGTCCCATTTATTGATATGGCCAAGAATACACCTGCTATGGAGTCTCTGTTGCTTCCTTGGCAGACTACCAGAATTTGAACAAATTAAATTTCCACTCCTTATTGGGGCATCTTTTCAAATGGGTCAGGTAACATGGTATTGCACTGATGATTAAATATTTCCAAACTCCACAAGGTTAACCCAGATACATGGTGTGGGTGCTTGTTACCTTTCCAGGGCCCAACAGGAGACCAATGCACTCACTCCCCATATAAACAGTGGTCTTGGTATATTGCCGTGCATGGTAATAGATTTTAAAAGATTTGTTTATTTGAAATGCAGAATTACAGACTGGGGGGGGGGCAAAAATACATCTTCCATCCAATGTTTCAGTCCCTACATGACCTCAATGACCAGGCTGGGCCAGGCTGAGCCAGGATTCTGAAACTCCATCAGAGTCTCCCAAACAGCAGGCAGGGTCCCAAGCACGAGCCATCTTATACTGCTTTCCAAGGCATATTAGCAGGGAACTGGATCAGAAGTGGAGAACCAGGGACACCAACCAGTGATCCTATGGGGCAGTCACCACAGGTGGCACTTTAAACTGCTGTACCACAATGCCAGCCTCAGGTGGCAGTATATCATTATCTTGGGCTCCAAAGCTCCCATCACAGACAATAATATGATTGGTGGAGGTTGACCAGAACAAAAGGAATGGACAATAATTATGAGACAAAATTGGGGAAACATGAAAGATGGAAAACAATGTGTTACACAGGTTGACACAGGGACCATGGCTACCTAAGGGAGGAACAAGGTGACACTTCCTAGCCACTTTTATGGGAATCTGAGGGCTGAAAGAAGAGGTCAAAGTTCAGAGATCCTCTCATTACAAAGGTGAAGCCACCCAAGCCCTGCAACAGGGGTGTAGAGACGGAGCTCCAAGAGGGTCCGAAGGTTGGCCTACATCATCCAACTAGCAGCAGGGGTCCAAGTCCTCACCTCAAGTCTAACTCCTCCCTTTCCTTCTCTCTGGCAACCTCATCACTCCCTGCTCCTGTGCAATCAGAAGGCTACAAGGGAGCATCTGAACTTTCTCTTGGGAGCAGCGATCTGGGTGTAAGTGATTTCCACATTCATCGCTTTCTGATTCTTTGGCTTTCTTGCTCAAAAGCTCCTATTCCTTTGTCTCCCTCATTCCCTCTTCAACAGAGTTGATGATTCTCATCCTGAAGGACCTGGTGTCATCCAGGCAATTGATATAATAGCAGTGTGGATGCTGATCCAATCTCTCTATAGCCCCCCCCCCATTTGATCAGCCTTGTCATCACTCCTGCCCCCAGACTGCCCTATGAAATGGTGCTGAGCAACCTGGCTGGCCCACACAGGGAACTGGCCTGGGGACAGGCAAGCTGGGTCCCAAACTTGGTGGGAGGGATGACTCCAGGGAAGTCTGAATCTGTCCTTAGTGTCTACCAAGACAGGTCAGACAGGTCTTTTCCTGCAATGCCTGCTTCAGGAAACTCACTCTGGTCTCCTTCCAGCTGTCCACATGTTCCCTTGATGTTAACTACAGTCAAAGCCTTCAGGACATGGAGGAGCTAGACAAAGAAGCACAGGAACTGTGAGTCTGAAGCAGGTAGACAGGGGTCAGGGAAATCAGGGCATAGACTCCATTGCTTCACATTCTTTGTGACACCTCAGGGATGACAACAAAATGGAGCCCAGAAGTGGAGAGGCTGCCATCGAGCTTGACCTGGAGAGTGGAGATGAATGGATTTTCAGGATCCACACAGGTTAGTGAAGAATGTACCCTGAGGTGGTTCCATGGAGCACATCCCCATTCCATGGAAGCTCCTAGAGCTGCTAGGAGGACTTGCTTTCATCTGAAGGGAAGGCTGGAGGTGTTAGCAGGATTGGCAGGCAAATGACTTTGGAGGGGTCTGTTAGTTGTGTTGTTAATGGGAAGAGCCGCCATAGCTGTTGAACATCTCCCTCTACAAGATGCATCCCTACCTGCCCATCCTGAAGTCAACAAGGAGCCTCACTGGTGTGGGGAAACACAGGGGGTTGCCCCTGACCACATCCAACTCAGGATGATTAGGAAGAGGCAAGACAGAAAGAGGAAACTTTGAGTGCCTTCTCACACCAGGAAGAGAGCCCAGTACACCCACCTTTGTATCTTTGTGGCTACCCATCCCATCCTGATATCACAAAAGAGCTCACACAGAATGCAAGAGCTGTGGGGATTTGTCCAGACCTTTTGGGGCCCTCAGCCTCCTTTCTCAGAGGCTGAGGATAGAGGCTTTTTAACATGCTGATTATTTTATTTTTGTGGTTATAAAGCCTTCTATCTTCCTGGCAAACTTAATTGTCAGCAATAAGGCAAAGCTCACTTTGAAGAGTGGCAGGAGCAGGGCAACAAGTCCCCAGTGTGCTCATTTGCACTGATTTTATACTTCAATTACAAATACACACTGGATATACAACTCTTTCAAAAGAAATGTCATCCATCACTTTTTCCATGCTGAAATATACCAAAGCAATAATGGTTGGGTTTTAATGCCACAAAATAATTCTTTGCCAATAAAATCTCCAAGATGACTTCTACATGGAGGATAGAAAGAACTTCCGCAGATTAGGGAAGGAAACCAAAGAGCTCTGTGCAGTTGTCCATAATTAACATGCAGGTCACAGGCCTTGGACCTGTGGGGTAAGGACTGAAAAGGCAGGGTCAGGACTCCCATTCTGTGTCATAAGACCTCCTGCTCCTCACAAGACCCAGGTTCACTGCCAAAGTGGCCAGTCCCCTGAAGGATGCCCAGGTGAATGCTCAATGGGAATTCGTAATTATAGGACATCCATACCCCAAACAAATGGGCCTCAGTGCAACATGGCCCTGACTGCTGTGCATATCAGGACCTAGGGTTACCTCTAAGGGCTTTTGAGTACTGCACACCCATCCCATTGTCCCTACCCCTACATCATCCTTGTCTCTCCCACTGATCCCTGCACCCATGTCATTTTTGCAGACATTTTTAGCTCCTTGGATGATTTTGGTGTGGAGTACTGGGACGCAGAGGAGCTGGAGTTTCCCAAGCCATCGGAAACTTGAAGCATACAGGAGGAGACAACTTCAGAAACATCCCTCCTCACCAGTCCTCTGCTAGATTTGACATTAAATTCTTGTCACCCAGTACTAGTGATTTTCACATGCTTTTATGTCAAAGAAAATCCATTATAAGAAAACACCTTTAGCAAATGTAGAACTTAAAATGACCAGAGAGCAGTCACCCTAGTGAATCCCATCACCATTAATGCCTCAAGAGGAATCTAGTTTGGTCTTCACTGAAGAAAGTCACTGCCAGGTTAGCTGTTTCACTCTGTCCTTACAGTAATGACTTTCTAGGCATTTTGTCTCACATCAGTTCCTTCCTCTGGAAGTGATCATAGGGTCCATCTCAGATCTCTGAAAACCCCTCTTTCAACTTAACCTGATTATTTGTACTTTATAGAAAGGCCTGATATATAAGGGAAAATGTCCCCAAACTTTGTGAATCTTGATTTATTCCCTTTATATGGAGGGTCAGTATTAGTATCTCTGAGATTATGGAGTTATTTTCAATGTCTACAGAATTATTTTCTCAGTGTGACTAGTTAGCCTTTTCTTATGGGTCACCATTTCATTCATGGGATCATTAAGTTTTAGATTCTTTTGATTTCTTTGAATCAGCAAGTTTAGGAGTTTTTTTCCTTATTTAAATTTGTGTCATTTGAGTTTAGAATTAAAAACTTCCACTTTACTTTAACATCAACCTTATTTCAGAAAAATTTGATTTCAGACACCAAATTTTTTTAGTTAATTAGTGATTGATATGCATTTGAATCCCTTAGACTATTAAACAGGTACACAAAAGTTCAGATTCACCTAGGCCCACAACTCCAGCAGAAATAAGTTTTGACAAATTCAAGCGTATACATCAGGCTTACCATGAACTCTTGTGTTTGAAACAGAATTGCCCAGGATCACCCTTATTGATTTCTCCTTTGTTGTCTTTAAATGCATTATCTTGGAAATAAACTCTCAAAACAAAAGAATTCTTTGAAATTTCTGTGCTGATGTAAAAAATTTCATGTGCCAGAATAAAAACCTGTCATGCATAAAATATCATGAATCCAATTCTTGATCAATTAAAGATGTACACACATACACACATGCACACACACACACACACACACACACACATACAGAGAGAGAGAGAGAGAGAGAGAGAGAGAGAGAGAGAGAGACTACAGACTGGGTGGCTTGGGCAATACAATGTTGATCATATACTCACATACCAGGAGTTCATGAATGATCTTCTGGCTTCCTGTAGCCTGGGGATGTTCTACTGCTCACTATCTATGTATACCCCATGGTAGAATGGTTGAGCCAGGCCCACAGTTGCATCATTATTTTCAAGATTTATTTATTTATTTATTTGAAAGGCAGAGTTACAAAGAGAGAGAAAGAGAAAGAGAGAGAGAGATCCCATTCACTGCTGGTTCACTCTCTAAATGGCCACAATAGCTGGGACTGGGACTGGGAAAGACAGAAGCCAGGAGCTTCATCTGGACCTCCCACATGGGTGTAGGGGGCCAGGCACTTGGGCCATCTTCCACTGCTTTCCCAGGTGCATGAGCAAGGTGCTAGATCAGAGGTGGAGCAGCAGGTCATAAACTGGTGGCCATATGAGATACCAGTGTTGGTGGTGGCAACATATCCTATGATGCCAAAACATTAACCCTCAGAGCTGCATCTTAACCCCGCCTCCCCACACATATACACACACATGGGCATCCCTTGATAGCAAAAGACAAGATTGATACCATACAGGCTCTTCAAGCTTCTGTTACCCTGCAAGCATGTAGGGGTGAACTGACCCCAACATTCCAGGCACCAGTTGGCAAGATTCATGGATGACATGGTGTATAACTGTGACTTCAGAAACACAGGCATGGAATGCAGTGGAGGCACTGGGCTGGCCTCCTGATGCACTTGCATATGATGCAGATAGTTCTGAGGCATCAGGTCCAGAAGTGATGATAAAACTGGATGGAACAGGAGCTGCAGTCTTAGACACAGTGAGCAGCAGTCCAGAGAAGTAACTTCCTTGGAAAACAGCTGAAAACCATTCATGTTAAGCCTCATATATGCTTGGAGGGATATTATGGACCTTTGGCTGGTTTATTGGCTATTCTAAAGGGACATGTAGGAGACAACAAATCCCACATCAGAGGCTGAGGATAAAGCATGAAAAAAAAGGTAGAAGCACAAGAATGGGTCTAATAAAGGACCTTCTGCTATTGAGTGGGTTATCTCCCTTGTTGGAGGGCACAGGGATGTGAACTTCTATGCATAATCTAAGATCAGGAGATAGGGACAGACTGAGCTTCTAGATCAGCCATGAGCCCCTGGACCTCATTTCAACAAGATTTATGGATGACTACTGGTTCATCAATGGGAATTTCAGTCCTGCAAGGGATACATAGCAAAAGTAATTCTCTTGGACACATTCCTCCCTTGATGTATTTAAGGAAATGTGTGAAAATACTGAATGAATATTTAAGGCATGTATATAACTTCATAAATACCTCTATACTTTGAAAAGTAATGTTGTGGGCTGCGCTCTGGTGTAGTGGGTACTGTTGCCACCTATAGGGCTGGCATCCCATATGGGTGCCGGTTCAAGTCCTGGCTGCTCCACTTCTAATGCAACTTTGCCTGCTCCCAAGTGGTTGGGCCCCTACACCCTCATGGGAGACCTGGATGAAACTCCTGGCTCCTGGATTCTACCTGACCCAGCCCTGGCTGTTGCGGCAACCTGGGGAATAAAACAGCAGATAAAGATCTACCTCTACCCTCTACCCTCTACCTCTACCTCTCCTTCTCTGTAGCACTGCCTTTCAAATACATAAACCTTTTTTAAAAGAGAAAAAAGATAAAGTTGTTTCTTACTTGTAAAGCACTATCTTTCCTTCCAGGATGTTTCCCTCTCAAAGGAAGGAGGAAGTCAGGACTACCTTTAATTTACAAATGTGTACACCACAAACACATAAAACATATGTATCCTAGAAATAAATCCCAATAGAAACCAATCCATAATACCCAGGTACATGACTTTCACAATACGGTGGACATACATAACTAATATACACAGCCCTCAAGGAGTTCATACAAAATCAGACACAGACACACTCATGCTCTTCACATAGGGGCCATTGAGCTCTCCTCTTCTGTTCTGGAAAGCATGGGGGTCAGAAACACCCGGAAAGACCCTTTGCTGATATTTCCATTCACCAGGGATGTCACCAATCACCATGGGCATGTCAGTGCATCAACATCAGTGGAGAATTGGCCTCTCTTTCCTAAGAAACCATGGCCACTCATTTTTAGAAGGAATACCCACAGTTTGAAAAACTCATGGTACTCAAAGACTTTGGGGTCAACAAGGGTAGGTGAAGGCTTGCCTCTAACACAATTTGTTCACTCATTCAGTGATTCTGGTGAGATTATCTTGTAGGTAGTATACCTAGGCACCAGGTCAGAGAGCACAAGGCTGGAGGGATGGTCCTAACACAGGGCAACCAAAATGGGTTTCCTTGGGGACTTCTCAGAGCTCAGCACATGGCACAGGCCTGAAGGCTACACACTTCAGTGAAAGCCACTTCTGGTCCAAGCAGCATGTCCTAGAAAGACTGCCCAGGAGAACTACAGGGCCAGCTCACTGACTGTCTTGGAAACACCTGGAGTCCACATGCTATATGCTCCCCCACCTTTGGAAAGGCACTCAGGATCCATGGCTGGTTACCACCCCTTTCTGACAATACTTCACATGAAATATACTCCTCACCAGGTCAGAGGCTGGATGTCTGGCCTGAAAGCCCTGGTGGAAAGTATAAGTAGAGTGTCTAATTTAGGGTCCACCAATCCTAGGCCAAGACACTTGGCAAAACTGTTGGAGGTGTGTGCACATATAAATTGCCCATGGACAAAGCCAGGAGTCAGGACCATGGGTCAACCCTAGTCCCCTGTTCATTAACCTTTCCTTGCTTCAACAATGACAGGTGGAAACTCACATCATGTCCATAACAAAAGTTAAAACTAGACAAATCCACATTATAGACACATCTGTAAATGTGTATATGTATTGAACAAACCTCTGAGGAAGCGTACATAATTGTGTATATATTCATATTTGTCTACAAAACACAGTCAATTGTTCCTTTAACTGTGGAGCTGTATGGGATGATATGACATTGCAGATGGGAAAAATTTACTACTGTCAATATTTCTAGAACTGTAGACATTCAAAAATACATGCAAACATATATGTCTCCAAAATGAGAAACAAAAAAAAAGGAATCCAAGAATCTTAAATCCACATAACAAGACAATGTACAAATACAAATAACTATACACAAAACACTGGGGAACACAACCTGACAAACATAGACACATGCATAATGTATATAGACTATTTGTCCAGGAGGCATTGGGTCCTCTACACCTCACTGGCAAGCTTGGAGCATAAGACACCTGGAGACCCTTCACTGCCAATTCCAGGGGCCCTTAGTGCATACCAATCACCAGGGCCTTTCCACCAAAATAGCCTTGACAACAAGAATCTGAATCTTATTGGGGAGATGGTCACTCTTTTCCACCAAAGAACACATCCTTGATTCAGCCATGAGCCTGAGTGACTCAGAGTCCAACATAACTAAGTTAGGCCTCTCTGTGGAGAATTTTCCCACACAGAGAGCTATGTTCTGACTTGGAGCTAGTCCTTGTAGGCCTGAGCTCTGGTGACATAGGCTGGTGGCACAGGTCTGCCATGTCATAGAGCCCTGACGAAACCTTAGGACTTCCAAGGATCTCCTTGGATGTTTATGGCCCCCATGGCTTCCATTACAGGAAGGGAGATGGTCAGCCAAGGGCTCCAATGACCTCAACCCAGCCAGGGTTCCACACTTCTGGCCCATGATGGGCAGCTTCTGTTCTGTATGCTATTCATAGCTAAAATAGTGGTTCTTGGAGAAATATACACTTTAAAATATGCATAAACATTGAACAAACTCCTAAAGATACATACTTAACTCTCTATTTGTACCACTCTATAAACATAGGAAATGGTTCCTTACCTGTATAGTTGTATTCTTGCATCTAGGATGCTTCAACTCCCTAGGAGAAAAGAGTACATTAGCACCATTATTTCTTTCTTTTTTTTTTGACAGGCAGAGTGGACAGTGAAAGAGGGAAACAGAGAGAAAGGTCTTCCTTTTGCCATTGGTTTACCCTCCAATGGCCGCCATGGCCGGTGCGCTGCAGCCGCGCATCACGCTGATCCGATGGCAGGAGCCAGGTACTTATCCTGGTCTCCATGAGGTGCAGGGCCCAAGCACTTGGCCATCATCCACTGCACTCCCTGGCCATAGCAGAGAGCTGGCCTGGAAGAGGGGCAACCGGGACAGAATCTGGCGCCCCGACCGGGACTAGAACCTGGTGTGCTGGCGCCGCAAGGTGGAAGATTAGCCTAGTGAGCCACAGCACCGCCCACCATTATTTCTTTAAATGTATATAAACACAAATGCATACAAACATGTATACCACAGGAATAAGTAAAATATGCAAACATCAGATTCCACATGCATGAGTAGAACAAGAACGTGAATATATACAAATAACTTAGATATACAACACAGTAAAGCACACACAAACACACACATACACACATTTACTTCCTTGGTCTAGTGGCCATTTGGCTGTCCACTCCAGTATAGGAAATCTTGAGGGCATACAAACCCAGGAAATCCCTTCACTGACATGTCCATGGGAGCCTGGCAACACCAAGCCCAGGGACATGTCATTAAACAACCTATGGCAATGTAGCTCACTGGGGAGCTGACTACTCTTTCCAAAGATGTCCACTAGGAAGAAAAGCCATCTTTGGTTAAATCAAAGAGCTTAGAAGTCTCAAGTGCCAATGGGTCCGGCAGGGATGGACCTCTACCTTAAGAGCATTCCCTCACATTGTGTTCTCACTTCATGGAGACAGTACACATAGAAATTATACAACATGGCACCAGGATGGACAACCCTTCCAGTATGGGACTTCAAGGAGGATAGATGGGGAATTACAAAAGCCAAGGAAAGCCTCAGACTCTGAACAAAATGCCTGATTACAGAGCTGGCTCTGCCTAGAACTCCTTTGTCCTAGAGAGGCCAATGTAGCTACCTGGAGGACTGGCTCACTGACTCACTGAGAAACAACTAGAAATCATGTATCTTAGCCTCCCACATTGAAACCTAGGACTCCCAGCACCAGCAGGATCCTGGCATTCTGGACTGCAGAAGGGTATTCAGGAGTAAAACAAAGCCTAGAGGACAAAAGGAAATGGCAGATGACCATGACCACATGAAGTTTAAACATAATACACAAGCAGCATTAAGTCAAGTCTAGTACCTGCTAACACTAACTGATGGAATAAATAAAGGGGAGAGTGATCCAACATGGGAAGCGAGATACTCAGCAGACTCATAGAATGGCAGATGTCCTAAATAGCACTCTGGCCTCAGAATCAGCCCTAAAGGCATTCGGATCTGGCTGAAAAGCCCATGAGAGTATTTCAGGCATGGAAGCCAAGACACTCTGGCAAAAGATCTCTGCGAGTGAGATCCCAGTGGAAAGAACAGGTCTTCAAAGAAGGAGGTACCTTTCTCTGAAGGGAGGAGAGAACCTCCACTTTGACTATGACCTTGTCTAAACAAGATAAGAATCGGAGAACTCAGAGGGCTTCCATAGCCTTGGAAACTCATGACTGGAGCATAGGGAGACTACTGATGCCATAGACAGAGTGTCAATTGGTAAAGTCAACAACAGGAGTCACTGTGCACTTACTCCTCATGTAGGATCTCTGTCCTTAATGTGCTGTGTATTGAGATTTAATGCTATAACGAGTACTCAAACAATATATTTCACTTTGGTGTTTCTATGGGGGTGCAAACTGTTGAAATCTTTACTTAATGTATACTAAACTGATCCTCTGTTAAAAGAAAGAAAGAAAGAAAGAAAGAAAGAAAGAAAGAAAGAAAGAAAGAAAAAAGAAAGAAAGAAAGAAATTATTATCACTCCCAACTTGACTCTCACTGGATTAAACATGACAATAGGTCTGATCTGATTTCATCATCATTTAAAAAAAATCATCTATTGGCCGGCGCCGCGGCTCACTAGGCTAATCCTCCGCCTAGCGGCGCCGGCACACCGGTTTCTAGTCCCAGTTGGGGCGCCGGATTCTGTCCCAGGTTGCCCCTCTTCCAGGCCAGCTCTCTGCTGTGGCCAGGGAGTTGCAGTGGAGGATGGCCCAGGTGCTTGGGCCCTGCACCCCATGGGAGACCAGGAAAAGCACCTGGCTCCTGGCTCCTGCCATCGGATCAGCGCGGTGCACCGGCCGCAGTGCGCTGGCCGCGGCGGCCATTGGAGGGTGAACCAATGGCAAAAGGAAGACCTTTCTCTCTGTCTCTGTCTCTCTCTCTCACTGTCCACTCTGCCTGTCAAAAAAAAAATCATCTATTATTTTCACTTTATGTTTCTGTGTGGGAGCAAACTGTTGAAATCCTTACTTAATGTATACTAAGCTGATCTTCTGTATATTAAGATAATCGAAAATGAATCTGATGTGAATGGAAGGGGAGAGGGAGTGGGAAAGGGGAGGGTAGTGGGTGGGAGGGACAGTATGTGGGGGAAGCCATTGTAATCCATAAATCGTACTTTGGAAATTTATATTCATTAAATAAAAGTTAAAAAAAATAGCCAATGCTATAGGAATCATCTTGTGAAGGTGCATAAGCAAGGATGCTGTCTGCCCATTATGTGGTGCCCTAGAAACAAAGGCGATTTCTGTGTTTCTTTAGAGAAATGTTTAAAGAATACTAGCTTCAGCATAAACCTACAATAATAAGAAAATCTGAGAGGTGAGGACTTCAGGCATTCAGTGAGAGAAGGCACCTTAAATAAATTCCAGTATGTCCATAAACATACTCTGGATCTGTAGTTCATTTGTGCTTTAATGAGGAAATCATGGGTGATGAACATGGAAAAGCAAGTTACTAATTTCCCCTGATTTAAAAATGGTATGCACATTTATTTTTAAAAAGTCACATGTGGACAAGCAAAGGCACTGAAGTAACTGAAGCAATTTCAAGAAATAGGAATTAAGTGCCTTTCATGTCAACACTTTCTATTGACTAATAAAGCCCACATAGTATTCTCAAAAGGATAGACACATTGGTCAATGCAGAACAGACACTCATCAAGTATGACCATACATTTCCACTTATAATCTACACACATAACCACAAACCAGTACTGAGGATGGCATATCTCCAAAGTCACATAGGATGTGCAAGACCACCACAATCTAAAACTACTTTCAAAGAATATATACATGTGGCAAAATACACCTTATTTCACTACAAAGCATATGAAAATATAAACACTAAATGCCATCTATGTCATGTCTTCACACTTGACTCAATCAAATACACCCACACTGTCCAAATTTACAATGCCCGGAGCCCCAGATATAACATTTCCTCAAGTAAATAATCTTCCTTGTTTCATTACTCCCATCATTTTCATTACTACATGTTTTTTCTATAGTAGAAGCTCGTTTGGGAACAGGATAGACAGTTTAGCCACCTGAAGCCAATAATATAGCATATGTAGGACCTTTGGTGATTTACTATTTTTGACTTCACCTGGAAGTGTTTTATCAATTTTTGGAGCCACTAATTTCATCATAACAGTTAACATTAAGTCACTTACTATATCCAAATACCAAGCACCACTATTATTTATAGTTATAATCCTCCTAGGACTGGCATTGTCACACAGCAGCTTAAAGCCCCAGCCTGAAGAACTGGCATACCATATGGGCACTGGTTGGAGTCCCAGTTTCTCCACTTCCAATCCAACTCCCTTTAATGCATCTGGGAAGGCAGAAGAGGATGACTCAAGTCCTTAGGCCCCTGTACCCACATGGGAGACCCAGAAGAAGCTCCTGGCTCTGGAATTTGGATCAGCTCAGCTCCAGTCATTGTGGCCATTTGATGAGTGAACCAAAGGATGGAAGACCTCTCGTTCTCTCAGTCTCTACTTCTCTCTGTAACTATGCCTTTCAAGTAAATAAAATAAATCTTAAAAAAAGAAAGGACTGGCACTGTGGCAAGTGGGCAAAGTCACTGCCTGTACTTCCAGCATCTCATATGGGCACCAGTTCGAGTCCCAGCTGTTCCACTTCTGATCCAGCTCTAAGCTATGGCCGGCAGTGAAAGATGGCCCGGTCTTGGAATCTTTCACCTGCATTGAACACCTGGAAGAGGCTCCTGGCACCTTGCTTTGGACTAGTGCAACTCCAACTTGGCCATTTGGAGAGTGAACCAGTAGATGGAAGACATTTATTCTCTGTCTCTCCCTCTATCTATAACTCTGCCCTCAAATAAATAAAATATTTTAAAAACATAAAAAAAAAACACAAAGGAACAACTGGAGCACCTTATAACCCTTCCTTGTTAAAATATAAATAAAAATATTACGTAACATTGTCATGGCTTATTTATAGATTTAAATCTTTTATATCCTATGGCATATCCATTTCAACTACCATTCCAAGATGCTACATCATCCATTATAGAAAAAACAACTACACTCTCATAACTACACACTAATAATTTTATTCTTAACTAGCTCTTGAATTCCTTACATTATTCCACCTGTTAACAACCAAATTAACCCATAAGAAGAGCTACAGATGCCCAAGAAACAGATTTGTCTTTTATTATTTATTTTATTATTCAAATATAATTGCCCATTCATATTACAAATATACATAGGATAGATGAAATTAACAACCCCTCTTAACCATAAAAGATACAAGACACCAACAATACTGAAGCTCTGAATATACAGATATGAGGGCTTAACCATGGGCTCTTTATATAATGCATACAAGATTTGAAACCAGGAGAATTATTATTGCATACAGTAGATAACAGAGTTGTCATAATAGAAATACCAATCCATATATTACTTTCATCTGAAGATGGCTTACACCCATAAGCTGAACACCATTTGATCTAAAAACAAATTCCATCCCAAGATGCTTGCATGAAGCAACCTTCAC